AATAAGTCACCATAAAACCCGTTTTCTGTCTGGTTACTGAACATTATTGTGTAATGACACATTATTGTGTAGTTTAACATGAACCAGGTTCCACTCAGCATTACTTCAGATGTGGTAAAGTGACCACTCTTTGGTAGTAGACAAATGTTAGTATTATTCTCAGTGCCATTTAATGACTACAACAATTATGGGGGACTACTGTGATTGGAGACTGGGGGAACTACACCACTAGCAGAAAACTTGGATTTAGGTATCAATTACAGACTTTTTTCTTTTTTTTTTTTGAGATGGAGTCTCGCTCTGTCGCCCAGGCTGGAGTGCAGTGGCACGATCTCAGCTCACTGCAAGCTCCACCTCCCAGGTTCACGCCATTCTCCTGCCTCAGCCTCCCGAATAGCTGGGACTACAGGTGCCCGCCACCACGCCCGGCTAACTTTTTGTATTTTAGTAGAGACGGGGTTTCACTGTGTTAGCCAGGATGGTCTGGATCTCCTGACCTCGTGATCCGCCTGCCTCGGCCTCCCTAAGTGCTGGGATTACAGGCTTGAGCCACCGTGCCCAGCCCAGTTACTGTTAATACAGACTTTTAATACAGACTGTTCAATTTTCAGTATTTGAAATATTCTTTTCCTGAAGTTGGCATCTTTCCCCCCTTCTTTCTGTATCTGATTTAGTTGACCTATAATTGACATCATTTTCTTCATGGAGAAAATGGCAGCCTCAGTAAGGCAATCCTGGGAACAATAGTCAGTGGACACCTCCAAGAGACACTTAAAATACAGTATCTAGACATTTAAGATCAGGATCAAAGCCATACCCTGCACTCCTATTCCTTTTCCATCCTGTATTCTACTAGCTCACTGGATAACAGATATCACTCTGAGTTTTACAAGTTCTAGTTTGATTGATTTTGTACCCTACCTGATAAGTATGGGCTTACAGTATATCCAGACAGATGAACCTGCCTCCCAGTAATCTCAGGCTGGGTGCAATGATTCACACCTGTAATCCCGGCACTTTGTGAGGCTGAGGTGGGAGAATCACCTGAACCCAGGAGTTAGAGACCAGCCTGAACAACAAAGTGAATTTTTTTTTTAAACAAATAGTGTCCTACTGAACTGAAATGGTTACTGTCTAGTTCAGGCTGATATACAACAGCTTTCTTGTGTAGTTGTTCACTTTCTAGCTTTCTTTTTTTCTTGATGAATATCTGCTTCCTCCTGTTTGTCACTTGTAGATAGGAGAGGTCACTCACTGGGTAATTCGCTTCCATTCCTGCTGACATCTCCCTGTTAGTCACTCACACCCATCATCATGCTGTCACCTTGCCATGGTTTCAGGGAGGAGGATAATCTCCGTTAGAATCTTTTTCAGTTAAGAGGAGAGTTGCTGAATAGTCTGGATAAGCTGTAGTCTTGCTAGTTAGAAAACATATACAGTATCGAAATTGTCCTTTCCCTTTGCTCTCTGAACATAGCACAAGTAGGTGAACCTATGTATCCCTGACTGTCTCTGATATCTTTTGGACCCTGTCTGTGTCAGATGAGAGTTCATGTTTCTAGCTGAGTTGTATCTGATATACTGAACATAAACAAAGGAATGGCAAGATTGCTTTTCAGTTCTTCATGATTTTGAATAAAATTGACAAGCAGCACTGGGGGACAGTACTTTCAGATCCTTTCCAGCTAAGATAATATTCATATATCATTCAAAGATAAAGAGAATGAAATATAAGAAAATAAGGGCTATGAATGTGCTTTCTTTCCTTTGGTCTAAACACTACCCATGAATCCCTTTTCTCAATGCCTTTTATTGAATTTAGCAAAACTGCTGTTTCCTTTCCAATGTGTTTTTCTTTCTTGCTGTTCTGTGCCAAGCAGGTCCATAAAGAATTCTGTCTCTTTCAATCTTGGATTATAAGCCTAGCCAGAAGAGGGGAGAATAAGTTGGGAGAGGGAGTAAGCCCATCAGAAAGTTGAAAACCACCTCAGAGTATCAGGACAAATGAAACATTTTTTGTAGAATCCTTTCCAGGGTTTTCTTCTCTGCTCAAATTTTTTTTTTTAATTTTAATTTTAATTTTAATTTTTTTTTTTGAGACGGAGTCTTGCTCTGTCGCCCAGGCTATAGTGCAATGGCGTGATCTTGGCTCACTGCAATCTCTGCCTCCCGGGTTTAAGCAATTCTTCTATCTCAGCCTCCTGAGTAGCTGGGACTACAGGTTCCCATCACCAGGCCCAGCTAATTTTTGTATTTTTAATAGAGATGGGTTACACCATATTGGTCAGGCTGGTCTTGAACTCCTGACCTCAGGTGATCAACCCGCCTTAGCCTCCCAAAGTGCTGGAATTACAGGCGTGAGCCACTGCGCCTGGCCTCTCTGCTGAAATCCTGACTTCCTTTTTAGTCACAAGTTCCAAAGTCATTTCTAAGCAGATGAAATCTTGTCTGATTCTAAATAGCTAGTTCTCTAATGGCAGTGTTTTCAACGTTGGCTGTACATTAGAATCAACTGAGGAAGCTTTTCAAAATTCTGATGCCCAGGCTACACTTCAGAACAATTAAATTACCATCTCCGGGGGCGAGTAGTTTTTAAAGCACTACTCTCTGCAACCCCCACACACAGATGGTTGATTCCATTGTGTATCCAAGGTTGAAACCACACTACTAAAACATAATTGATATAGTTATTAGTATTCTTAGAAAGCTTAGATATTAGTCTAAGAAACCTCCAGGTTTTTATGAAGGGGAAATTAAAAATTAAAGACCGCCTTTGCAAACTTATTTCGTATGAGTATTTTTTTTTAACACATATCAACCCTCTGTTCTAGTCTAATTGGCCTTTTCATTCTACATGCTTTCTCTGCCTTTGTTCATGCTATTTGAGAAATGATCTTCCCCCATTTTTGCTTTTTATAATTTCACACTACCACCTCTTTGAAGCTTCATTCTTTCAGCCAGAGGAAGGTTTTTCCCTTCAGAACTTCCCTTTTTTGCTTTAGTATATTCTGTATGGTTTTGCACTCATGTTTTATTTCTCCGGCTAGTTTGCAAAGCCTCATTCTTACCTATGTAGTCCCCTAATTGCCAGGCATCTTTATATCCCTTGTAATGCCTTGCATCCAGTAAATGTTATGTAAATGTTTGTTTGAATAAAAGGAATTTCAGATGTCATGCTGCAGATGTGTGCTATTATAGAACTGGGGAGAAAACAGATGTGTAATATCTTTTCTATGCCCTTCACACTTTTCCAGTTACTCAAATTCTTGATTTGGAGATGACTTTTTTCTTTTTTTTTTTTGAGACGGAGTCTTGCTCTTGTCGCCCAGGCTGAAGTGCAATGGCGTGATCTCAGCACACAACCTCCTCCTCCCAGGTTCAAGTGATGCTCCTGCCTCAGCCTCCCGAGTAGCTGGGATTACAGGCACCCGCCACCACACCCAGCTAATTTTTTGTATTTTTAGTAGACATGGGGGTTTCACCATGTTGGCCAGGCTGGTCTCCAACTCCTGACCTCATGATCCGCCCACCTTGGCCTCCCAAAGTGCTGGGATTACAGGCGTGAGCCACTGCGCCCAGTCAAGGATGACCTTTTTATTTGTTTAAGTATGTGATTTTCATCCCCTGTGCAACCATTAAGTAGTCTTCAGGAATCAGATTCTGGAAATGTTAGCTCTGGTTGGGAGTGCTTTATAGTTTACAACAGAGCATGCTTGCTAATGCCAGATATGAAGCACCCACCAGGGTTATTTTCTGTCATGGTTTAAACAAAACTTTGTTGTAGTCCTCACTATTTTTTAATATTTAAGATTAATTTTTAGATTTTTGAGAATGCCATTTTATATACTACTACTCTCTGTTCATTGAGAAGATAAATCCTCTTTTCCCAGTCTTAAAGATACAAAATAATTGTTACAACTCAATGATCTGCAAGTTCCTACCACTAAATGACTATAAAGGAGAGTGTGTTTAAAGCAGACAAAGCATTTGATGATTCAAGGAAGTGTTTTAGACGCACAGTGAGAACTAGGAAGAAACAACTGTGGAACTGTAGGAAAAAGTAGATTTTGCTTTTGAAACAGCTCCATTAGTTGTGTTTATGTGTGTTTTACATTGCGTGTATGCCACCTGTTTTCAGCTTGAGTTCTTTAATGTTTTTGTCAAGGAAGACCGACTTCAGAGTGAATTATATCTTATCAGAATCCTGAGAAAAAAAGCAAGACTAAGACCATGTGGAGTTATTTTCTTGTCAGCTAGGTAATTCAGTTAGTCTCATTCTCTAATGCTTAACGTCCTTTTTAAATGATCTCTAAATAAATCACATTTCTCCTTAGTAGAACTGACTGTGAAAGAGATTTGAAGCACTGCATGCTTCCCCACTTCCTCCGTAGACAGTCCAAATATTTTCTTTTTTAGGAACATTCCAAACTCTAAAAATCACTTTTGTTCCACCTATAATTTTTGCAGCTTGAAATTGCAGCTCAATACTAATTTGGCTCTTACTTTTTCAGTGGGGCAGCAGGTTTTGTAAATTAAAACACATTAATTGTTTTGTTTTTTGGCTTTTTCTTTTCCAACACCTCCCCACCCCCTCCGTCCGCCCCCCACTATAAGTTTCCTTTTAAAGAAAAAATAAAGCATATTCAAAACTGTTGCCGCTTGGGGATAGAGCTTCTTAGAATATGCATACTCTTTAAATCTTGTTTGGGTTTGTGCCTGTGTACCCCAGTGGAAAGATTGGATCTGAAACATCCCTGAGATGTCCCAGCTCCATCTTCTTTCCAAGTTTTCTCCAAACTAATACACCATCACTACCACCACTTAGTTCCCCTAATACATATTTCTTTGTAATCTACAATTTTTTTAGGCTTTGGGAGACAAGTTGAATGGCATGTATTTCCAGCAACTTGGTAGAGCAATTTACAGATTCTATATGGGCATCTAGTATTTAGCTAAATGAACTCTACCTCTCTCTCCTCTCTCTCCTTTCTCTCTTTCAGCTTGGCAGTGACCTTGGCGGGGGCATTGGAGGAAGTCCGGCAGTAAGTGCCATCTGTTTTTTTCACCATGAGAAGCACTGCCCCCTGTTTGATGCGTTTCCTATGTACACATTATCTGACCAGCCACTGCTGCTGTCTAGCATTGCACACCAAAACCTCTTTAACAGTATATGGGGAGTAGAAAATAGTACAGGGTTACTTGGAATTGTTGGGGTCATGCACCACGTGGTGTAGAGACATCTTGAAGGATTAATGTTCCAGTGCTTACAGAGATCTTTGTCTTTCTGATATTAAAGAGCTAAAGGAAATGGACCCTTCCATCTTGACTGGAGAATGCTTATTCCCTGGTGTCACCTAGAAAGAACTTGAGAGGGTCAGCTGGACTCAGAGTGAGACTCTCCTTATAAATGAGTTAGTTTCGGGGGTGTGAATGTCCATCTCCCAGAGGAGAGCTTCCTACTAGATATTTATGTCAAAATGGGAAAGGAAATACTACTTTGCTGAACCCAGGTGGAAATGGAACTGCTGTTTAAGTTGGATACTTCTCCCTCTTTCTATAAAAACAAACTCCTCCTTTCTTAGGGTACCTGTAGGCCTTTTGCACAGAATCATGGAAGCTAAAATTGGAAACAAACACAAAATCTTGAATCACTGTGTTCCTGTATCCTACTGCGTACTCTCTTGATAAAGCTTTTACAGAATGAGTGTGTCTTATCAATGATGAAAAAATAACTGTCATGATTAAAAAGATGAAGAATATACTAATTTGACTCCTAAGAATATTGTAATTATGGTTTTTTTAATTGATTTATCAAAACTACTAAGATATGTAGCAATATTTTAAGGACTGTTAATCGGTTCTTCCCAATCTCCTCTCTCCCCCCCTTTTTTTTTTCCTGCAGGTGGGACAATCCTTCATCCCATCATCGGTGCCTGCAACCTTTGCTCCTTCACCTACACCTGCTGTTGTCAGCAGTGGACTGAATGACCTGTTTGAACTCTCCACAGGCATAGGCATGGCACCCGGTGGATATGTGGCTCCTAAGGCTGTAAGTAAAGAGTTAACATAGCAATACTTTCTTAATGGACAGGACCCAAATGGTTTCACTTTTAACATTTGTGTTACTTCTACTGGTAATAAATCAAAGGTTTGGGCCCTTGTTCTGGAGGACTTAAGAGGAAGATGAAAGGTGGCTTCAAACTTAGCAGTAGGAAGCACCATTAGCATCCTTGTTAAACTTTTTTATAATTAGACTTAAAATTAGAAATATTAATTATTTGAGTTTTGTTCCCATGTTTAGAAATATTGTCTAGTTTGTCAATATTGAAGTCAATCTAGTGAAAATCTAGTGGTATGTAGTGCACCAGCAGGAGAAAAAAATACAGAGATGTCATTTCTCTTATTCCCTTTTCCCCATTGGTATTACATATGGATTCTAGAATGCCACTGCTCAGATTTGGTTTTCATGGATTTTAGTGTACCTTTTTAGAGTTCCGATTTAGGTTTGTGTCATTGGGGCTCTTCTTGTCTTGTCTTAACCTTACTTGATGTCACTCACAGTGAAATTCAAGAGGGGAGACTCCCAGTTAAGGAAGCTCATTTAAGCCCTTGGGAAAAGCACCATCCCCGCTAGGCCAGGCTTCATATAGTCTTGCCTTTCTGAGGACCAATTTGACTGGTTGCTTCCTGAATTCTCTGCTTACTAATCTGACTCCTTATGGGGGATCCCTGCTATAGAGATGTAGACCGGTTGTCCATTCCAGGAGTCATAACTGTGATAACTGAGTGTATATAGTTATTACAGTACATAGCAAAACCGAAGATATTCAAAATTGAGCCATAGTGTTTTGGCACACCTCAGTAGCTTTGTTGTAAGGTTTACTATATTGGATATTATCTTCAGACTTTTAATTATTAGTTATCTGATACACTCATTTACTAACATAAAAGTAATGTATACAAATTACCAATGTAAATAATATGAAAATGTAAGATGGAAAATTATCTCCCCCATCCCCCATTTCCCATGTATAGACACTGTTAACTTTCTTGTGTGTCCTTTCAAAAGAAAAAGATCATGCATATAGCTGTATATTTATATCCTTTGAACATTCTGTGTCAATGGAATATACTATTTTGCACCTTGGTTTTTTCTCTGCCATATTCTTTTGAATCCATGTATCTACTGAACTGATACACCATAATTTATTTAATCACTCCTCTGTTAATGAACATTTAGTTTATTCCCTGGTCCTCCCCACCACCTGCCACTCTTTTAGTGTGGCTGAGTATATTACCATGATTATTCCCCACCCACAGATCCTTTGGTATTCTGTCTTAGGTGGTCAGAACAGCTCATGACTCCTGATTTTAAAAAAATTTTTTTTTTGAGACGGAGTCTCGCTCTGTTGCCCAGGCTGGAGTGCAGTGGCGCCATCTCGGCTCACTGCAAGCTCCGCCTCCCGGGTTCATGCCATTCTCCTGCCTCAGCCTTCCCAGTAGCTGGGACTACAGGTGTCCGCCACCACGCCCGGCTAATTTCTTTTTGTATTTTTGTTATCCAGGATGGTCTTGATCTCCTGACCTCGTGATCCGCCTGCCTTGGCCTCCTAAAGTGCTGGGATTACAGGCATGAGCCACTACGCCCAGCCTTAAATTTTTTTATCTTTATTTTTTTTCATAGTATAGGCCAGATGTATCACAGGTTCCGGGACCAAGGGGTGTGTTATGATTTATTTAGATAGATAGAATAGGCATTCAGATTATATGAGCAATATCTGAGTATTTACTATTTACCACAAACTGTAGCAAGAGTTAAAAATGTATATAAGACATGGTCGATGCCTTTAAGGAAATTACCAATAATGGCTTTGGTTGGAAATTATGAAAAAAAATCTTCAAAGATTACAGGCACGCTATTTTCATTAGCAGATGCAGTTTGTTCCCTTTAAACCATTTTACCAAAACTAACAGAAAAATACATTATACTCATTGGAATTTTTCTTTTCCTCTTGGTAGCAGTACTCTTAAAAGCAGTAAAATAACCAAGCTGAACAAAAGATAGAGCAGAAGCCAGGGTCGTTTAAAGACTGGTTTTTAAAAATTATTATTATTTGCTTCTTAAATAATTGACAACGATCTCAAAATTCAGAAAATAAGACTCTATCCAGAGTCTTTTGCACTGGATTGATACTTATGGTATAAAATTTACTATAATTGCCTAAGGAAATGAATTTGTTCACTTAATTGTTAATCTTAATTTGTTCTTTATTTGTTAAAAAATATGTAGCATCAAGATAAATCTTGTCTGGTTCTATTGAGCTTTATTGTGTGTTTCAGGTCTGGCTACCTGCAGTAAAGGCTAAAGGCTTGGAGATTTCAGGAACATTTACTCACCGCCAAGGGCACATCTATATGGAAATGAACTTCACCAATAAAGCTCTGCAGCATATGACAGATTTTGCAATCCAGTTTAACAAGAATAGGTAAGAAATCTGAGTCCCTAGCTTGACGTTGAGACAACAGTTTGCCTTAGAACCAACAAGAGAACTTTCCATTTAGCACTGGTTAAAAACTCACATATTGGTCCGGGTGCAGTGGCTCATGCCTGTAATCTCAACATTTTGGGAGGCCGAGGTGGGCGGATCACCTGAGGTCAGGGGTTCAAAAGACCAGTCTGGCCAACATGGTGAAACCCCGTCTCTACTGAAAATACAAAAATGAGCTGAGCATGGTGGCGGGTATCTGAGGTAGCTACTGAGGAGGCTGAAGCAGGCGAATCCCTTGAACCCGGGTGGCCAAGGTTGCAGTGAGCCGAGATGGCGCCAGTGCACTCCAGCCCAGGCGACAGAGTGAGACTCCATCTCAAAAAGAACACCAAACCTCACATATTGGCAGATGCTGTATGTAGAGTGAGCCCTGGCTCTTGTACGTCTTTTCAGTTATCAGCTTCAACTCTGGAGGCGCTAGGGAGTTTGTTGGGAAATTCATCCAAATGCGATGAAGAAACCAGAACTTAATTTACTGTCTTGGATTCTAGGATTAGAACATTTTTGACAAATTTTTAACTGAAGTCCATTTATTCAACAAATCATTGTTTAGCATTAGTATGAGTCAGACATTTCTAGGTACTAGGGGTAGAGTAGTGAATCAAACAAAGCTTCTGACTGAAAGTTCACATTTTGGTGGGAAAAGTTAGCATATTTGGTTGATGTAAGAAATATGGAAGTGTATATGCTGACCAAATAATCACATAAACCTTGACAACCTCCTTTTAGCAATCAATTCTCTGCCTTAATAAGGAAGAGAGCATGAAGAAGTAAAATGTTAATGCCTTATTCTTTTTGAAACATCAGTGGTTTTTATTCAGTTTTATGGTGCAGGAAACTGGCTGTTAGACCTTAATGGCATGTCCATTCATTTGTAAATACAGGATATTTAACCCTGCATATAAAAAGTAGTAATTGGACCCTTAAAGCAGATTTAATAAAGTTTGTCAATAACAATTTGCATCAGTGACTGTCTGATTTATTTCTCATCATTTGGAAACAATTTTGTACTCTGGATTTGAGAGCTTGGCATGTTAAAAATCATTTAACTATCTGGAAAGTCTGTGTTTCTTTCTGTCAAGACTACCAATATTTCCAGCCACTTTTGAGGAGCTGGCCTTGTTAAAGGTCAAGGCTGTTGGGAAAATAAGTAAATAAATAGGCCAAGGCTGTTGGTGGAATCTGTTGTTGTAATAAAGGAAATCTGCAGATGCAGAGTCTGCATTCATCTCTAGCCTTTTTTCCCCCCCTTTTTTTTTTTTTTTTGGAGATGGAGTCTCACTCCGTTGCCCAGGCTGGAGTGCAGTAGAGCAATCTCGGCAGCTCACTGCAACCTCTTTCGTTCTGTTCCATTGTTTTGTTTTTGTTTTTCTTCTTTGGGGTTTTCAATTATTCATTTATTGACTCTTTGTTTATTTTTATATACTGTTTTCTCTCTAATCGTTAAAAAAAACATCAAATTCTTGTATATCAGCAAATATCCAATTAGTGTCAGATTTTCACAGTAGTCTAATGTTTTTGTACTGTTTGCTTTGTCTGAACAGGGTCCCAGTAAGGTCCCATACATTGCAATTAGTTGATAAGTGCCTTAAGTCCCTTTAAATCTATAGGTTCCTCCTCCTTCTCTGTTTTGTTCCTTAAAATTTATCTCCTCCTCCCTCTCTGTTTTGTTCCTTAAAATTTATCTGTAGAAGAAATTAAGTCTTTTATGTGTGGAGTTTCCCACAATCTCAAATCTTGCTGATTCTGCTTGTAAATTGGAGGCAGATTATAGATTTATCAGATTTAGGCTCATATTCTGGTAGAAAGACTTCATAATTGGTGGTGATTGCAAATCCTGTTTCTCTTGTAGTTTTTTTTGGTTTTTGGTTTTTGGTTTTTTTTGCTTTTTCTCATTTCTATTCTGTTTCTTACCATGTTCACTATGGTGTCTGTTTCCTTGGTCTTTGTAAGTCAGTCTTTTTGTCACTATAATTGTACCTTTTCTATAATTTTTTTATAAATGAAATTACATAATATGGAATCTTGTGTGGTTTCTTTCAATTAGCATCATGCTTTTGAAATACGTATATCAGCAGTTGATTTCCCTTTTGTTGTTAAATAATACTCCATTGATGAATATACAGTTTGTTGACGTGCTCACAAGTTGGGGGAGTTTGGTTGTTTTCAGTTTCATCTTTATGATAAAGTTGCCATGAACATTTGTGTACACATCTTTGGTTGGACATATGTTTTTGATTTTCCTTGGTAAATAACTAGGAATGTTATTGCTAGGTTATATGGTAAGTTTGAGAATTCCAGCTGTTCCACATCCTCACCAATTTTAGCCATTCCTGTCGCTGTGTAGTAGTGTCTCATTTTAATTTGCATTTCCCTAATAACTACTAATTTTAAGCATTTTTTTTAAATAAGCATATTGGTCATTTTTATATCTTAAGTATCTGCTCAAATCTTTACTTTTTGTTGTTTTTTGGGAGAGAGAGAAGATTGTCTTACTGAGTTGTTAAAGTTCTTTGTATATTCTGGATACAAATCCTTTGTTGCAAATATTTTTTCACAGTCCATGGCTTGCCTTTTCTTAATAATTCTTCAAAAAAACAAAAGGGTGTTTTTGTTTGTTTGTTTGTTTGTTTGAGACAGAGCCTGGCTCTGTCATCCAGGCTAGAGTGCAGTGGCACAATCAAGGCCTACTATTGCTTCGAACTCCTGGGCTTAAGTGATTCTCCCACCTCAGCCTCCTGAGTAGCTAGGACTACACCTGTGCACTACCACACCCAGCTAATTTTTTTTATTTTTTGTAGAGATGGGGTCCCACTGTGTTGCCCCGGTTGGTCTCAATGGCCTGGGCTCAAGTAGTCATCCTGCCTTGGCCTCCCAAGGTACAGGAAATACAGGCATGAGCCATTGCACCCAGTTGAAAGTTTTCAATAAAGTCAGGTTCATCTGTTTTTTTTCTTTTTATGGCTTATGCTTTTTGTGTTCTAAGAAATCTTTGCTTAACCCTATGGTTACAAAGATTTTTTTGGCATGTTTTTAAATATAAGCCTTACAGTTTTTGTTCCTACATTTAGTTTTAAAATTCACTTTGAGATCATTTTTAAGTATGTTGTAAATCAAGAGTCAATGTAAAAATTTTTTCCATAATAGATCTTGAAATCAGATGGCATACGTCCTGCAACTTTGTTTCTTTTCAAAACTTGTTTTAGGTGTTCTTGGTCTTCTACATTTCCCTGTAAATTTTAGAATCAGCTTGTCAGTTTCTACAAAAAAAAATGCTGAGATTTTTATTGGAATTGCAGTGAATATGTAGATCAATTTGGGGGAGAATTGACATCTAAGCAGTATTGAGTCTTCTAATCCATTAGCATAGTATATCTCTGTTTAGGTCTTTAATTTCTCTTTGCAATGTTTTATAATTTTTTATACACAGATCTTACACACCTTTTGTCAGATTTAAGTATTTCAGATTTTTGATGTTATAGTAAATAGTTGTTGTTTTTTTTTTCTTGTCACTCAGGCTGGAATGCAATGGCATGATCTCTGCCCACTGTAACCTCTGCCTCCTGGGTTCAAGCAGTTCTCCAGCCTCAGCCTCCTGAGTAGCTGGGATTAGAGGCACCTGTCACCATGCCCAGCTAATTTTTGTATATTTAGTAGAGACAGGGTTTCACCATATTGGCCAGGCTGATCTTGAACTCCTGACCTCAGGTGATCTGCCTGCCCTTGGCCTCCCAAAGTGCTGGGATTACAGGTGTGAGCCACTGGGCCCAGCAGTAAATAGTATTTTTAATTTTAATTTTTTATTGTTGCTAGTATATAGAAATATAATTGATTTTTATATATTGAGCTTGTCTCCTGCAACTTTGTTAAATTTACTTTTTCCTTCTAGTAGCCTTTTTGTAAATTCCTTATAGTTTTCCACATAAATAAATCATGTTATTTATAAAAAGAGACAGTTTTATCTTTTCCTATTCAATCTTATGCCTTTTATTTTTCCTTCTTGCCTGATTGTACTAACAGAACCTCCAGTAAATGTTGGGTGGGAATGGTAAGAAAAGTGTTCTAATTCACGGGAGAAGCATTCAGTCTGTCATCATTAAGTGTAACGTTAGCCATAGGTTTTTTTGTGGAGCTTGAGGAAGTTTCATTCTGTTCCTGGTTTTCTGAGATTTATTATGAATGGGTATTAAATTTTGCCAGATGCCTCTTCTGCATTTACTAAAATGATTATGTGAACTTTTTTAGTCCATTAATATAATGGATTACATCAGTTGATTTTTCAAATGTTAAACCAACCTTGCATTCCTGGGATAAATCCTACTTGGTTAGGATGTGTTGTCTTTTTTTCTGTATTGATGGAGTTCATTGGCAAAAATTTTTTTACATCTGTGTTCATGATATATATAGTCTTCATTTCTGACATGATTTACTTGTTTTGTTATTTCTTTCCTGAGTTAGATTGGCTCCCTTTACCTTTTCCTGTTGTCTGTCCCTCACTTTACATTATCTGGTCATCCCTTCCCCAGATGTGTTTTTTTTTTTTTTTACTGTTGTGTGGTCTTCCTTGGTAGCTAGCACTGTTTTTTGTTTGTTTGTTTGTTTTGTTTTTTCAAGTATTTTTTTTTGTCATTAAGGAAGTTGTACTGCTGTCTTTCCACTTTTTTATACTAGGGCTTTGAATAGTTGCTGTGTTTTTTACCATTTTGATACTCATATTTGAATGAGTTGCAATTTGCAGGAGTAGCTATTAGTAGATTTCTATAGAAAAGGAAGATAGGCAGGGTAGTTTTTTAGACTTTACTCCTCAAGAACGTTTCCTTCTTTGTTAGCCACAGCTTCTTAGCCTCTCTGAATCTAACTTGATTCTAGAGGGCTGATCTTTGCCTTCAAGCCCTGTCTTCCAAGGTGTTTGTTTCCTCTTTAGAAGGTGGTGCTTCTTGAGCTCTTTCCTCTCCAGGGCTCCCTTGGTAGAAAGGGACTTGCTACCTTTTTTTTTTCTCCAACCGTATTCATATGTTGCTCCTGTTTGATCTTGGTCTATTCTGGGAATGGGGCTCTCTTCTGAGAATGGATATTTGTGGTCAGTCTCTGAGACCTGCTACTACTGCTGATTTCCTCTGAACTCCTTGTGCTTTCCTACTGTATCACCAGAGCATCTCACCAGTTCTGTGGGCTTTCTTTAACTAGTAGTTTTGGAGAAGGTGAAATTACAGCTTTATAGGGACTTTTTTCTCCCTCTTTGTTTCCTCTATTTCATTTCTCAGGTGAGCACTTGGAAGATTTGGAACTATGCTGCTGCCATGTTTCCCAATATTGACTTAATGACAGAGTTTTGATGACTGTGAGAGCAAAATAAAAAGAATAAAATGGTTTTTGCCTTATAACTATTATCCCTAAATGAGTGATATGAATTCTCAAGATGATTTCATTATTACAATTTGGTACTCTTAAGGTGTAGTTTAGGAAAAAGAAAATATTTCTTTAGCCACTCTAACTCTTGAAAGAGTATCTGTGTAAACTCTTTTTCTATTTTTATTTTTATTTTTATTTTTTTTGAGACAGAGTTTCACTCTTGTTGCCCAGGCTGGAGTACAGTGGCGTGATCTTGGCTCACTGCACCCTCCGCCTCCCAGGTTCCGAGTAGCTGGGATTACAGGCACCCACCACCATGCCTGACTAATTTTTTTTTTGTATTTTTTGGTAGAGATAGGGTTTCACCATATTGGCCAGGCTGGTCTCGAACTCCTGACCTCAGGTGATCCACCCGCCTCGGCCTCCCAAAGTGCTGAGATTACAGTTGTGAGCCACTGCACCAGCTTGTATAAACTCTTTAGTTAATTTTATAAACGTCATAGTCCCATCTTCCATCCTGAGGCTATTTAGAATATAAATTCAATATAAATTTGTATCATTTTGTTTGTTATCTTCTAGGCCCACTTTTTTCTTTCTGCTCCATCTTTATAAAATTTTGTTTTCTTCTTTTTTTTCCCTACTCGAAACAGGGTCTTGCTCTTTTGCCCAGGCTGGAGTGCATGGTGCAGTTGAGGCTCACTGCAACTTCAACCTTCTGAGTTCTCAACCTCCTGGACTCAAGCGATCTTACCACCTCAGCCTCCTGAGTAACTGGGACCACAGGAACAGACCACCACACTGGCCAATATTTGTAATTTTTTTCCGGAGACAGGGTTTCTCTATGTTGCCCAAGCTGGTCTTGAATTGCTGGGCTCAAGTGATCCGCCCGCCTGGCCTGGGTCTCCCAAAGTGTTGGGATTACAGGCGTGAGCTACCATGCCTAGCCTATAATTTTTTTCTTTTTTTCTTTTTTTTTAAGACAGAGTCTCGCTCTGTCGCCCAGGCTGGAGTGCAGTGGCACAATCTTGGCTCGCTGCAACCTCCACCTCACAGGTTCAAGCGATTCTCCTGCCTCAGCCTCCTGAGTAGCTAGGATTACAGGTGCCTACTACCCAGCTAATTTTTGTGGTATTTTTAGTAGAAATGTGGTTTCACCATGTTGGCCAGCCTGGTCTCGATCTCCTGGCCTTAAGTGATCTACCCACTGCCACCTCCCAAAGTGCTGGGATTACAATTGTGAGCCACTGTCCCCAGCCCTAGCCTATAAAATTTTATCCTTATGCTTCTCAGACCATCTGTCTTCCCACACATGTATTTGTTTTCTATTTAACTTCAGATTCAGGCTGAGTTTCCCATCTCTTTACCATTCTTGTATTATTAAACAAGTTTTCCTGGAGAAAACTGGTGGCTATACATTGCCTGCCTGAAGCTTAGAAAGTGGCCATGTTTGGCTCCACAACTTACCCTAACTATTTGGAATTTATAAGCCAGTCAATTCCATTTAGACTAGCTCTTTCCCAGTGATTGTGTCCTGTGTAAGTGAAAAAAAAAAGGGAAAGTGAGAATTACCAGTAAATAATCCTCTGGACTTATCAGGCAGGTTATCAGGCCTGTAAAATAATTTATTGTACTTCTCTTTACAGAGTAGAAATTGGTTTTGGGGTTTTTTTGGTTTTGTTTTTTTAAAGACAGGGTCTCGCTCTGTCATCTAGGCTGGACTGCAGTGATGCAGTCACAATTCACTGCAACCTCTAATGCCCAGGATCAAGCAAGCGATTCTCCTCCCTCAGCCCCCAGAATAGCTAGGACTACAGGCATGTGCCACCATGCCTAGCTAATTTGTTTTCTTTTATTACTTTTTTTTGGTGGAGGGTGGGCAGTAAAGACAGGGTCTCATTGTATTAAGTGACCCTCCTGCCTCAGCCTCCCAAAGTGCTGGGATTACAGGCGTGAGCCACCACACCTGGCCTCAGGAGAAAGAAATTCTTCTTTCTCCGAAGAATTATCTAAGGAAAGACTTATTAAAAATGTATTATCAAACCTGTCCCTTTAGTGACATTTTAAAGAGAAGAAACTTTCAGAGTCATAGCACTAGCAAAGCAGTTCTGCATTTATGGATATTTTCTTCCTCCAATCCATTTAATGGAAAACAGAAGTTATGATGTAACCAATGTTACAGCAAATTGGAATTGAGCACTTTGATTCCTGCTACCCCTTTTATTTAATTGTATTAAAAATTTTGTTTCCTTGCCTGTAATCCCAGCACTTTAGGAGGCCAAGATGACCAGATTGCTTGAGCTCAGGAGTTTGAGACCAACCTGGCCAATACGGTGAATCCCCATCTCTACTAAAAATACAAAAATTAGCATGGCATGATGGTGCATGCCTATAGTCCCAGCTACTTGGGGGACTCAGGTGTGAGGATCACTTAAACCTGGAAGGTGAGGGCTGTGGTGAGCTGAGATCACGCCACTTTGCTCCAGCATGGGTGACAGAATGAGACCTTATCTCAAAAAAAAAAAAAAAAAAAAAAGTTTTCCTTTTAATGGAGCAAAATGCCATTAAAACTCAAAGATATGGCAAAATCCTGCCTCTTTTTTTTTTCTTTTTTGAGATGGAGTTTTGGTCTTATTGCCCAGGCTGGAGTACAATGACGCACTCTCGGTTCACTGCAACCTCTGCCTCCCAGGTTCAAGCGATTCTCCTGCCTCAGCCTCCCAAGTAGCTGGGATTACAGGCACCCGCCACCAAGTCTGGCTAATGTTTTGTATTTTTAGTAGAGACGGGCTTTCACCATGTTGGCCAGGCTGATTTTGAACTCCTGACTGACCTCAGGTGATCCACCCACTTCAGCCTCCCAAAATGCTGGGATTACAGGCGTGAGCCACCACACCCAGCCTAAATCCTACCTCTTGATTAACCTCTGTGATTTATGTATCCCCTCTTCTAGCTTTGGTGTCATCCCCAGCACTCCTCTGGCCATCCATACACCACTGATGCCAAACCAGAGCATTGATGTCTCCCTGCCTCTCAATACTTTGGGCCCAGTCATGAAGATGGAACCTCTGAATAACCTCCAGGTCAGAGTTTTACTTCACTCAGGTGGTACAAGTTAATATCTTACCAATTATTATTATTATTATTATTTTTTATTTTATTTTTTAAAGACAGAATCTCGCGCTGCTGCCCAGGCTGGAGTGCAGTGGCACGATCTCGGCTCACTGCAGTCTTCGCCGCCTGTGTTCAAGCGATGCTCCTGCCTCAGCCTCCCAAGTCGCTAGGATTACAGGCCCAAGCCACCACACCTGGCTAATTTCTGTATTTTTACTAGAGATGGGGTTTCACCATGTTGGTCAGGCTGGTCTCGAACTCCTGACCTCAAGTAATCTGCCCACATGGGCCTCCCGAAGTGCTGGGATTATAGGCGTGAGCCATTGTGCCCAGCCCAATTTTTCATTTACGTGTAAAAAAGTCCCTCTTTCTTCCTTAGGTTTGAGTTAGTCATGGAATAGGATTTGAGATAAATCTTTGTGGACGAGAGTTTTATGTTTTGTTGTTAAGAAAAACAAAAGTCATGCGTGACATAGATGTTCATTCTTTTACTCAACAAACATTTAGAAACTTTTTTCTTCTTATTTGTACACCTTTTTTCCTTAAGACTTTTACAGCAAAATTTGAATGTCATTCATATAAGAAGAGATTTATATGGAGGTTATCATTGAACACTGGACCACAAGACCCCATTAGCATGTATCTATGATAAGTATAACAGCATCTTAGAGGAATTTTATCTGGTATACAAGAGCCTCTTTATCTTGAAAATGTTGAATTTTTTAGAATGCTTGGGTATCAGCTTAGAATTTCATTCAGTTTTCACCTACCTTGAAGTTTCCTTTGAAATATAAACCTTCTGGGCTTCAGGCAGCATGAAGGCAGAGCAGTAAGCTCATAAGTCAGAGCTGTAGCAACCCTGGAGGTTGCTAGCGGTTATGGTTTTAATGTTCACAAGAACAGCAAGAAAGCCTTGGGCTACCCTGAAATGGGGAACTGTAATCGATCCCTGCATAAAGCAGAGACCCTGGAAGGGCAGCTCCCTCAAAGAAAGGAGAACTAGGAAAATGTTTTCGCCATCCCCCAGAAATGACAGGAAAGTTCTGAGCTGGGTTCTGGGTATAGCCCCTTATGAGAAATTCAAGGCCCAATCAATACCATAGATGAGTTATATAGTCCAAATTTACACTACTTACGTAGATGTAGTAACCTCCAAATCAATACATTAATGTAAAATTGGCCCAGGACTGGTGAAACCTAGAGTCCTGTCAGAAGCAAATACCAAGTAGCCCTTTAACAACAGTTGTAAAATTTAGGGGCTTCAATACCCCCAACTGAAAAGAAAATCTCTACTGAATGTGAGCTCACACTTTAACAGGAGAGAGAGAGAAAGATGCACTGTGAAGGATAGTCAAAAGACATTGCAAAGAGGAGGACTGGTACTGTCCCCACCCCCACTAAGAACTTAAGATAGAACAGTCTGAATGAGACTATGAAATATATTTAAAATGATGAAAGAAAAATGTCAGCTTTCCACTTTCCAGTCAAGACAGGTGGGATCCCATTGTTTAATCTTCTAGAAATACCAGTGTAAGATACTAGTACTGATGGTGAGACATCAAGAGTAAAGTATCTTGGAGTTAAAACTAAACATTCTTCAGTCATTTAAATACCAGCACAACAGGCCTGTTTGCCAGTTCACTAACTACCTTGTTGCCACAGTAGTTGACTGCCTTTTTTTCAGCAAAGGGAGTAACGATTGAGAGGGTAGACGAGTGAGTCACAATATAACTTGGCTCAGACAAGAAGAATAAAGCAAGGATTACTATGCAGATGGAATTGGCTGTTACTATGATGACAGTAATGTGTTAAGGGGCTTTTCCAGCACAGGATCCTGAAGAAACTTAACCCAAATCTACATCTGTTCCCTTTTCATTGAAATCTAACCTCCCATTGGCCACAGAGCCTCAAGCCTAATATTTGAGGACAGTCAGCATGCACGCAAGAATGCTTTACCTCATGAGTAGGAAAGAGAATTTGGGTCACAGAAACCAGGGCAAAATTTCTGCTCTTAAAATGAAAAGAAAAAAAGAAAAGAAACAGTAAACAAATTAATGAATGTCAGTTTACTTTCCTCTTGGCATTTCCGTTTGACTAACTCCTGAATAGGAATCCTCACAAGAGAAGTTGAATCTTAGGCCAACCCTGTCCTTAAAAGTATTGATATGATATTAGAACTAGTAAGTTTTAATTTTCATAAACCTGATATTATAAGAAGCAACCTTTAAATTTTTCCATCTATAGTTAACTACTGATTTTTCAAGTTTCCCCCTTGGATTCTCTTCTCTTGGGGATGTCATAATTGTGGCTATTTTCTCATTAATTGGCATTTCCCAATGGAGATGATAAACAAAACTTGAAAAGAGAAAAACTTTTTCCCCCTGTGAGCAGCTCTACTTAGTGTATGCTGGTGAGAGTTGAAACTAATGGCTAGCTTAGGGATATGTAGGGTACTTTAGATTTCAGCTTCCATTCTGCCTTTTTCCCCATATGAACAAGAAGAAAATCAAAACGTCATTCCAACAAGGTTAAACTATATAGATCCAGATAAAGCCAGATAAAGATTAATCTAGCTTTTATATATATTTGTATAATGTTTACATTCAAGAGCTCATGTGGGAAAATTAGTATTTTTCTAGTACTACAGAGCATAAAATCAGGGGAAAAAAATGTTGGGGATTGAGGAAATGAAATTTTGAATTCCATGTGGGTTTTAGCTGTTTTGGCTAATTTAATATCAATGTGTAGAACAATTAAATCAAGCCCAGCTGCCAGAACTGTAGTATAAAACTTATTATAAAATCTTTTCATCAAAACACTCATTACTACTTATTGGCTTATAGACTATTTGAAACACTATTTAAAAGTTAAAAAGATACCATTCATTCTTTTTTTTTCCTTTGAGACAGAGTTTCACTCTTGTCACCCAGGCTCGAATACAATGGCGCAATTTTGGCTCACTGCAACCTCTGCCTCCCAGTTTCAAGCGATTCTCCTGCCTCAGCCTCTGAGTAGCTGGGCTTACAGGCGCACACCACCACACCCAGCTAATTTTTGTATTTTTAGTAGAGACGGGTTTCGCCATGTTAGCCAGGCTGGTTTTGAACTCCTGATCGCTGGTGATCCACCTGCCTCTGCCTCCCAAAGTGCTGTGATTACAGGCGTGAGCCACCATGCCCTGTCCATTCATTCTTAATGTAAAATACATTATGCCTTAAATATAGGAATTAAATACCTAGTAGAGATTTGAACCTGGAAGAATTTTTCTGCTATACTGACATTGACTGTAAAAGCTTTTGTGAATCAACTTATGAACATTATACAAAGTAAAGTTAAGCTTGCTCCTACTGGGAGCCTTTCTTGAGTTTATTTATATCACATAATTATATTCCTTAAAAAGAGAATTGATTCTCTCTGCTTAAATAAAGCAAAAACCTTAGTAAGTGTCTAAATGTATTTCCTTTAAATGAGTTTTCTCTGACTCTGATGTCCCTGTTTCTCATTTCATGTGTTAGTTGTGCTTAGAAACATTTTCCCAATGAACTTCTTCAAACTTGACACCTGGCAAGTGACTGCTTTTTCAAATCAGTGTCTGTAAGGAGACAGTGGAATTATGATTTAACATGTGTTCATCTCCAGGGTCATGCTTATGGTCTTTATGTAGATGCTGCAGAGTTCCCACAGCTGCTTGGCCTCTGTTTTCACAGGGCCATAAACTCTTAGGAGAACATTGATAGCATCATTCTTTCAAGTTTTCAGGATGATAAAGGCACAGTTTAAAGAGCCAACTAATTCTACAGTTATTTAAGAAAAACCCAGTCCCCAGACTTTTCTCCCTAACAAGACTCCAATATCTCCTTCCACAAAGCCAATTTCGTTCACCTCTTTTGATTCTTTCAATAATTACCTAAGTAACATGCTCATATTGGGACTCCTGGATTTTTCTTTATTTTTATTTTTTTAAGATAGGGTCTCACTCTGTCACCCAGGCTGATTGTGCAGTCATGGCTCACTGTAGCCTTCACCTCCTGGGCTCAAGCAATCCTCCCACCTCAGCCTCCCGAATAGCTGGGACCACAGGAGCACACCACCACACACAGCTTATATATATATATATATATAGTGTATATATATATATATATTTTTTTTTTTTTTTTTTTTTTTTTTTGAGCTGGAGTCTCGCTCTGTCGCCCGGGCTGGAGTGCAGTGGCTGGATCTCAGCTCACTGCAAGCTCTGCCTCCCGGATTTACACCATTCTCCTGCCTCAGCCTCCCAAGTTGCTGGGACTACAGGCGCCTGCCACCTCGCCCGGCTAGTTTTTTGTTTTTTTTGTTTTTTTTGTTTTTTAGTAGAGACGGAGTTTCACCGTGTTAGCCAGGATGGTCTCGATCTCCTGACCTCGTGATCTGCCTGTCTCAGCCTCCCAAAGTGTGTATTTTTAAATTTTTTGTAGAGACAGGGTCTTTCCATGTTTCCTAGCCTGGTCTCAAATTCCTGGGGTCAAGCAATCCTCCCATCTTGACCTCCCAAAGCGCTGGGATTACAGGTGCGAGCCACCACATCCAGCTGGATTTTTCTGTTGTAGGTATTCCTGTACATCTCTCCACTCACTGCCATCATCTGCATACTTTTCATGTTCCCATATTTTCTGATAGAACTATCTTAAAATTTACTTAAATCAGTGTTCAATGTTTACATCAATTTTTTTTTTCTTTTTTTTTTTTTAGAGATAAAATCTTGCTTGGTCACCCGGGCTGAAGGGCAGTAGTACAATCATGGCTCATTGCAGCCTGAAACTCCTAGGCTCAAGCGATCCTCCTGCCTTAGGAGGATCTCAAGTAGCTGGGACTACAGGTGTGTGCCACCACACCTGGCTGATTTTTTATTTTTATGTAGAGATGGGGTCTCACTATGTTGCCCAGGCTGGTCTGAAATTCCTGGGCTCAAGTGATTCTCCTGCCTCAGCTT